CCCCCGCCGGTGATTTTTGTACGGATCCCCGCTGCCACAGACCCTACAAGCAGCGGGGATCCATGGAGTCTCTCATCCCTCCCTGGGATGGCTCCAGGGAGGGATGAGAGACTCCAGATGCCGGCAGCGGCGGTGGGGGGGGTGGGGTGCCCGGTATTTTTGAAAATATCGGTCATCAGCGGCTTGTGAGCCGCTGATGACAGCTATTAATTTAAAGGGAACAGTCTGCTGAACAGTTCTACTATAAGCTGATGGTCAGCTTATAGTAAAACTGTAAATGCCAGGTCCGTACTGCATACTGAGCTGGCCAGCTGGAAGCACTTTTGTAGCTCCGTACGCCGTACGTCCTTGGCAGCGAAAGGGTTAAACATTCAGTGACATGCAGATGATCTAACTGCTACACAATTATTCTGTAGAACAAGTTCATGGCATAAATGCATATGATTGCACTGGCTAATATAGCGCATTTATGCTTTCTGCAGATACCCCTTTCAATAACCTAACTCCATGAAACAGTAGAGGTCAACAAGAATAAAAATATCGGGCATGGGCCGGCCCAGGGGCACAGACAAAATGTTTCCTGATCCAAATATTAGCTACACAAGCCAACAAGTGATTTAGTCAGTGGGGACCATAAGATGATCTGCCCCCAACAAAAGAAATATTTTGGGCCTTGTGACTTCTAAACCCATCCAGACCAGATCTACTGCAGCAAGCTAGTAGTCATCGGTTTATGTGATTTTTCTGCTTTTTCTTTATTGTAGGAAGTCATTTATGGTGTATTATGTTTTCAATAAATGTCTATCTACTTTTATAACTCGGTGATTCTGAATTTACAAGAAACCGGGATCTAAATGATTAGTGCACAGCGAGACATCAGACAGTGAACGTCAGATGATTAAGTGTTCCCACGTTTTATTCACTGGGGCGTCTGACTGACACAGTCTGACTGCATGTAATTGGGACATTTTATGTATTTGCTCATAGTAGGATATGGTAGCATGAATGGCTTGTGTCCGGTATAGTAATAATTGGAAAAGAAAGGCACTTTTTAAAAATGTATTCTGTCATCAAATCAGACTTGCAGTTCAGCATTTCAAGACACAGTTAAAATACATGTTGACTATTTACTTGCCTGAAATAAATATATAAGTGGACTAAGCACTCTTTTCCCTCTTCTTTTTACATTTGCCAGTGTCTTGCAAAAAAAGCCCATTGGCACAGTAGAAATGCATATTTAAGGCTCATTAACACTGATACATATTTAATGGTCATTACTGCAACACACTCAACTAAGGGCAGTGCACTGTGGTGCTATTCACTGTGAATTGCACCTCAAAGCATCTAGCCATTGCACAGCAACATACATGCATTTGGCCCACCACAAACTTGCATTGTGAAGCACTAACAGCCGATCAAAATAAATGGCCTGCCGCAACATAATTCAGCAGATGAGTGTGAATGGACCCTTAACATAGGTGTGCGCAGGGGGTGTACCTGGGCACACCATGAGCACAGCACTGAAAGCGCACCAGCGGGCGCTGTGTTTTTAGTCACTGAGCCGGTGGAGGGATCACAAAGATCTCTCTGTGACCGACTTAGTTATACAGAGCACAGCAGCACTTATATTCCTCACATAACAGCCACAGTTCTCGGTGCCTGGGAAGCTACGAGGGAGCGTGACTGCAGTATCCCGGGCTTCCCATGCAATCAGGAAGCCTGGCAGGTGGTCACATAACCACCTGCCAGGCCCCCTGTTTCATTACTGCACCACTGCTGGAAGAGGTAAGAGACAGTTGAAGATAGAGGAATCCGGGATGCCTCAGGTCTGTGCATATATTAGGGATGTCCCGATGCCATTTTTTCAAGACCAAGTACAGGTACTTACCCTCAGGTGCTTGCCGATACCAATTATGAAGAACTGTAACTGAATCCATGATTATACTTGTCCTGATCATTTTAGCCAAAACCGTATTGAACCGTGCTAAGAAGCGCTTCTCATTGGACAGCGTGGTCACCTGACTGCACTGACCAACGAGGGCTCGCAATTTCCAAGTGAAATTCAAAATCCATATTGCAAGGCTGCACTGGACGGCAGTATGGGGTACATATAGTACACCTGTACCAGCGCAGGGGAAGGACTGTTCACTAAAAGGTAAGTATATTTTTATATTACCTGGTCGGACCACGCGCCGATATCCATGACTATTACAGACCAGTGGAATCCTTCCAAGGTATTTGTGTGGCGCAACAATGTGCCGTTGATGCTTGTCCCCCAGAATGCAAAAATAATCCGGGAAACGCTACAAGAATACTTCACGTTAAATGAATCCTCGGTTGAGAGTGTGTACAGCCTCTGGAATGCGCAGAAGGCATATATGCGAGGGGTGCTGATGAAAATGGGGCACAGTCAAAGAGGCAGAGGATGCGTCGGTTGAGCCACCTCTTGACTCAAATAGAAACTCTTGAAACACGTAATAAAGCCAACCCGACTATATCTGACGGGACCATTCTAACAAAACGTAGACAGGACCTCCGCCTCCTACTGTTGGAACAGTTTGACAAACAACACTCCTTCAATAAGGCCCGCTTTTATGCCAATGGCAGCAGGGCGGGGAAATTGCTGGCCACCCGTATTAAGACCATGCGCACTAAAACTAAAATCCCGTTCCTCGTACACCCTACCGGAGGCCACAAAGTTCACCATCCACAGCAGATAGCTAACTTATTCAGCTCTTATTATGGAGCTCTTTATAACCTTAAAGATGATGCCGCCACCCCCCAACCAACCGAGGACAACATTAACTCTTTCCTGCACAGTATCAAACTTCCCTCATTGACTGCCCAACAGCTCCAACAATTAAATGCCCCTATTTTGCCCTCTGAAATACTCAAGACGATTAAGATGCTCCCAGCTAAAAAATCGCCGCGGCCAGATGGCTTCTCGAGCGAATACTATCAGCGGTATGCGAATGATCTAGTGCCACATCTAACGAAGGTGTTTGCCACAGCCGCCTCCTCTGCCTCTTTTCCAATGGAAATGCTATCGGCCACGATTGTTACTTTGCCAAAGCCAGGGAAGGACCCAGTGACGCCTGCCAACTTTCGCCCCATATCTCTCCTGAACACAGATGTTAAACTGTATGCAAAAATGTTAGCAAATAGACTCCAGGACATTGTACCCTCATTAATACACCCGGACCAATCCGGCTTTATCAAAGGTAGGGGGGCCCCAGACGCCACACGCAGGGCTCTTAACATTATACACCACGCGGGGGGCTCCAGTGTGCCGTCTATCTTGTTAGCGCTCGACGCTGAAAAAGCGTTTGATAGGGTACACTGGGGCTACCTAAGACAGGTATTGACTAGATTTGGTTTCACAGGGTGGATACAATCAGCCATTCTAGCTCTTTATTCCAATCCTTCAGCCAGGGTCTTCACTATGGATGCCTTTTCCGCACCCTTCTCCATAACTAATGGAACCAGACAGGGCTACCCCCTATCCCCTCTGATATTTGACCTAGCCATAGAACCCCTGGCCGAAACTATAAGATCACACCCTCTCAAAACAGGGTTCAAATTTGGGAAACACACTCACACTATTAGTCTATTTGCCGATGATGTATTACTCCTGCTTACGAATCCTGTGTCCTCCCTGGCTTCGGTTTCCTCGGTTCTTCAGGCTTTTAGTGAGGTGTCTTACTATAAAGTGAACGCGGCCAAATCTCAAATTCTGGACTTGGGAGTTAATCTCCGCACCAAAACCCTACTACAGTTTCGCTACCCTTTCCAGTGGTGCACTACGGGAATCTCATATTTAGGCACTACCCTGCCAGCTGAGACATCTAAGGTATGCGAGGCAAACTATTTGCCTCTAGTGTCCAGGTTACGGTCACAACTTCAGAGCTACCAGAAACACATTCTGTCTTGGTCATCTAGGCTAGCACTCTTCAAAATGATGGCACTACCACAAATATTATACCTTTTCCGCACCCTGCCGGTCCGGTTCTTTCATAATCAGCACACATTGATGCGCAATTTTATATGGCAAGGCAAAAAACCACGCTGCGCGCATTATATACTTGTTAAACACAAGAAGGTGGGGGGCTTGGGGGTCCCGGACCTACGGGACTATTACTCGGTTGCTCTATTAGACTCCCTACAAGCATGGATGCAACAAGCCCAGCATAAATTATGGTGCGAAGTGGAAGCATCTTTTATCCCACAGCTTAACCCGCATATTTATCTAATTGCGCAAGCACTGCCTAAAGAAGTAGTGGGTAACCTTTCGCCTATGACTCGAGCCTCCTTAACAGCATGGCAACAATTACTATGTGAAACCACGATGGGGGAGACCCGCACGTCTGTAGATGTTCCCCTCGGGACGTTGCACATATTTCTCACCTTTAGTAATTTGACTAAGTGGGTGGAACGGGGCATGACAAGGGTCAGGGACTTATACGTGGGGGAAAGCTTAAAACCCTTTCCTACCTTGCGCAAGGAATATGGGGTACCGGCAGGGGACCTGCTCTTATACCACCAACTAGCTCACCTTCTGCGATCTACATCTCTGAGAGAATGTAGAATCCCAAGCTTAGCCGAGAAGTTCTACTTCTCCAGTCCCACACAAACTAGAGGGATATCTCTGTTCTATGGAGCTCTAAATAATAAACTAGTATTCGCCAAATCCGGCCCGATAAAACAATGGGAAAAGGACCTACAGTCCTCTTTCTCACCCCAACAATGGACTACAGCCTTTGCATACACTCACAGGGCCACTAAATGCGTGGACTTATGGACCCTGGGGCACAAAATTGCCCTACAGTGGTACTTTACGCCTCTCAAACTTAGTAGAATGTATCCATCCGTCACCACAGATTGTTGGAGACAATGTGGACGAATAGGGAGCTTGCACCACATCCTGTGGGACTGTAGATGTCTGAGGAGTTTCTGGCGCCAGGTATTCCAGAAGATAGCACAGACCACGGGATGTATAGTGCAGCCATCACCCGAGTTGGCGATCCTTTCGCTAGGCATCGAAAACCTCCCACCTCAATTCAGGATTCTAATCTCTCACATCTTGTTAGCGGCAAGGTTGACCGTAGTGCGCCACTGGAAAAGCGTAAATGCACCAAATATATCTGAAACTGTAGCCATAGTTAATCTACATTGCCAATATGAGAGGGTTATGTCGTACCAAGATGGTTCCACAAAACGATTCTATACTGCCCGGTCGTCCTGGCTAGGTTGATGGCATTTTTCACCTCCTTGTGGTAACAATGATATGATGCAGGTCTCGTTTGCTTGGCTTCCCCTACCTTTTTCTCCCTTTGTCTTCCCTTCTTGTTTGTTCCTTTCCTCGGTACCACTCCCCATCTCGTTATATATAAAATATGTTGATGTCATTGGAGATGTGTGTTCCGCTTAGGAGCGCGTATGCTCATAATGTATTTGTATATCTATACTTTATGCAACATGTAACCTTCGACAGCAAGATCTCTATAATGACTGTGTTATGTTATTTTCTTGAAAAAATCTGTTCAATAAAAAAGATTGAATTTAAAAGGTAAGTATATTGGGAGAGGGGGGAGAGAGTTGGCCAGATTTAAGCGGGTAATTCCATTTTCCCAAATTACTTAGGAAAGTGAACTTACCCTTTAATGTGCATTGTGCATGTTGGAGAGCGCTGCTTCCCCACTACCATAATATGGCACACAGTGGAATGAGGGCACCACTCGGCGCACACACACACAATGCTCCATGCATGTGTTGATTCGCATACAGATGGTGGGTGGGGCAGGTTTTTTGTTTTCAATTTTTATTTTATTTTGTGGAGCCGGCTTCCAATGGAGAAGTTTGGCTGGGAAGCCGCTGCCCGGCTTCCATGCTCTTTGGCTGGCTTACTGTTGGTTGGCTGGGAGGTGGGTCATTACCCTCCACCTGGCTTCCTGATTGGCTGGGAAGAGGAAATCTCCCTCTGACTGGACGTTCCGGTATTGGGGGGTAAGTATCGGAGCATTTGGGTGAGTACTAGTATCGGTGCATCCCTAATGTTTAGAAAAAGTTACTGGTTCATTTTTTGTCTGGGGTTTTGCTTCAGTGCGATTCTACAGGAATCTGCTGGGACAGAACAACACCTTGTTATTTTTTTAACATATATTTTTTTGGTGAGCTTTTGAGAAATTGAAATCTGCTTACACTTTTATATAGAAAATGCGGGACTGCTGAGATTTTCTGCTTTACAAATTGAAGAAGAGATCAGATCTGTGCAGGTATTTAGTCATCCAGGTCAAGGGGCATCTAGATGTGGTAGCTCAAAAGCAATCAGACTGGTATTGTTGACTTTTCACAACTCATTGGTGACTTTGGCAAAAACTGTAGTTAGATGTTGTCAAGTACAAGTCCTGTTTTGTTTGAAGAGGAAAGCTGGCATGTGTACAAGTCTGGGTGTGGTGTGCTATTCAGCTGTAGTTGGCAGACCGTACAAGGTATTTAAGTCTTACTGACTCCACAGGGCTTGCCCTCGTTGGTTATTGGTGGCATAGTAATGACATTACATAGGGTAGGTACACAAGTGAAACATGTTTTTCAACAAGATTGACATCATTGCATGAAACGTTTTAACAACAGTGTATGGATAAGACATATTTGGTTTTTCCAAATTTTTCTGCCAACAATAAGTCTTATCTAGGAAAAGTGTGCTGACAATAAGATTGGTGATGGCAATTGCTAGGTCACAGATGATGCTGTTGTTGGCACGCTTTTCATACATAAGCCCCCGTTCAAAATTCCAAGTGATGTTTGGTAGAGCTTTTTATGATCAGGAAGTTCATAGAAACACGTCTACCAACTTGTGACCTCGGTCTCCTATTTTATAGTTGTGTAGAATAATCGGGCCAGTGATAATAAGGGGCTGTCTAAGCCCTGCCGCCTTTTTATATAGTGGTTCCTCTGGGCTGGAGAGCAGCACGAACTATT